ATCGCGAAGCCTGTTACGCGAGACGTGGTCTGGCGTACATCTACCTAGTTAAAATAGAGCGCCATGGGCCGAAAATTTCCTCTGTTTGGCTCTATCTTCAATCATTTAGGCGCCACAGGGAGTTTTTGTCGGAAACAAGCGAAAAAATGTACAACTCTGCACGCTGCACGCGTACGAACGGGGTTGCCTACTCGTACGGGGCCCACTCCGCCTCCGTCCACATCGGCGTCACTACCACCTGAGATTCGGCCGCAGACACCCTGATCCAGGTCCGAGTCACCCAGCGCCAAGCTACGGAACAAATCCACCTCAACCCAGCCTTGACTGACCTTCGTCTTGTGCAGAGAAGTTAAAATATATCATGCACTTTGCAAATGCTAATTATTTTTACTGTCTCCCTCCCTCTCCCCCTCTCACACCCACATGGTGACTCGGCATCACAAAACACAGACAATAACTGATTGGGAGCGCGGCTGTTATTTTCATTCATCACAAGAAATTGGGCTTTGGCGTCGGACTTGGTACTATGTCTACCGAAATATTTAAAAGTTTGTAAAAGGGAAGTAATGGTGAGAAAATGGCAGGTGGAGGTAGCGGAAAGAAAGTCAGCGAAGCACTTGCTTTGCAACCTACAAAGAAAACTAAAGCATCGTAACCTACGAACCATCATTGCTTTGAAACTACGAAGCAGTGCTTTGTCACTACAAAGAAAGTTCGCCTTGTATTAATGCTTTCAATTTCTTCGTAATAAGAAGCAGTGCTCTGTGGACGTTTGCTTGTAAGGTCAGGGCATTGGAACAGATTCCTGCTGGTCGTCTGAATGAGTTACTTTTTTGCGTGTCTTGTCACTTGTCAAGCGTCCTGCTCGTGTCCGTGATGCTAGCGCGAACAGCAAACTTAAGTGAGCAGTGGCCATTCACCATTCATATAATGTCTAGTCAAGTCTGTATACACTCACTATTAGCAAGTCTTGACAAATGTAGTTTAGAAAGTCTACAGGAAGTCCTTTTGTGAAGCTACACCTGGACTTTTGTTCCTCTGTCAAATCTTGTTGGTGGACTTATGTTCCTTTGTGAAGCTACACCTGGACCTCTGTTCCTTTTGGGGATGGGGATCGAATGGCAAAAGATCGATCTCGTTGATCGATCTGAATCGAAAGGGTTCAAATCGATCCAACAATCAATCGAGTAAAAAAAAAAAAAAAACGATCTCAGCCAGATCGATCTAGATCGAATATTTTTTTGTCGAATTCGACAAATAAGATCACATTTGTTAAAAAATTGAACATTTCGTGCAATTTAAAGAAAACATTCTTCTTGTTAGTTGAAGTACTGGACACTAACACTACTAGAGCTAGACAGAATGCCAGCGCAGCGCGCCGCGGCGAAAATGTTACCGTGAGGGAAAGGGAATCAAAATTTCAACGTTTTACTGTAGGGGTGAATCGATCCGAAGATCGGACGTCTGCGAATCGATCCAGCCGATATCGCCTGTCAGCGAGATCGATTCAAAAGATCGGAAATCGAACATTAACTGATCGATTCTAGCGAGGTCGATTAGAAATCGCCCATCCCTAGTTCCTTTGTCAAATCCCACTGGTGGACTTACGTTCCTCTGTCAGATTATGTCTGGACTTACGTTCCTTTGTCAGCTCATTTATGGACTTACGTTTCTTTATCAGAACTCTGATGGACTTATGTCCCTTTGAGACTTGTCATACAGGCCAAACGGTTCAAGATATCAACATGCCGTTTAGCTGGCATGATTTTCACGATGAACACATCATTTCGCAACCAAAAAGTAAAAATCACCCTGAGGTGGACTTAAGCCCCTTTGTCATATTATCAGTGATTTGTCTGATTGGAGGGGGGGGGGTGTATCACAATCTACAGTAAAATGAAAATGGGTAAGCGATATCTGCCTAATCAAAATATTCAACAGAAATAACATGGTAAATTTTAACCGCAATAATATCTATGTTGTTTTCCGAACAATTGTTATTGTTAAAACTCAAAGGCTAAATTAAAATTTTCGTATTTAATTTTGACCAGTTCCGCTCTTTAGATCATGAACAGTTATAAAAATTTAAATCACACAGTTAGTAAATTTTATTGCCTCACAGTGGCAGTACATTAGCTTAAGCTTTGCAAAATGGTATTAGCAACAATTAGAATCACGGACACCTTTAAAAAGCAGTTTGTTGGGGCAAAAAATTAAAAAAGGCAGTTGACCTGTATGGTTTTAATGAAGTGTACACCTGCAATATATTTGGTCCAATATTTGCTGGGAAAAAGCTTGCCTTTGCCATTTTTGTTTTTATATTTATCTCCTTATTTACTGTGTGGTGTCTCACTTGTAGGGGTTACTATTTTGTAGAGAAAATGAGAATCTTGGGTATTGAGAGGGTCTTGCTGTTCAAAACTTTGAGGTGGAAGGCAGCAGAGGGCAAGGAGGTCCAGACGAAACATGTCAAGGATTATGTGTTAGGGCATGTTGTTTCTTCTCAATAGGCACTTAGACATACCAAATACAGATTTGACTCATTTATCATCACAGATTCCGAAGTTCCTTAGTGAATTGTATAAAAGGTGGGATTGCTTTCACGGAAGGGAGGGTGATTTTTTAAAGAAACACAAGCGCTGGATTGGGGTTAAGGAGGTTTTTTTCAGGGAAGTACCCTGGACCCTGCCAACCTGGTCGGCAACGTGTCGACTCGACTGAGAGTCAGCTGCTCGCAGTAGAGGGACAAGAGTGCTGCAACCTGTGATGGCCAGTCAGCGGCCTCCTGCAATGCAGCTTCGTGCAGAGGAGGAAACGGTTGCTGCCAGTTTTGTGCAGGGCATACGAGAGAATCCGTCCTTACCAGATAAAATCAATCATCCTTGTTTATGAAAAGTACAAGGACCATTCATCCCCCCCCCCTCCCCCCGTTCCAAAAAAAAATGACAGGGGAAGAGGTTGTTGGGCTTATTATTCACACTGATTTGAGTGAAGCACAGTACTTGGATATCAGAGAAAAGGCCAACTATCACAATGCCAATAAAATATTTCCACGTAATGACATAGTTTTCTCTGCAAAAAAAAGAGTGCACCCCGCCTTCCCTTGTGACGGATACGTGCGCTGAGGTGCCACTGCAGGCCCTCGTTGACCGCAAAACAAGCCTCAAGCTCAAGGTGCGTCACAACACCTAAAGTAAATATTACTCTTTGATTTGTTCTCGGGTGGAAAGAAATGAACTGTAAGTATACTTTATTGAATACTTAATGAAAGTTAACGTCCAAATGTTAACTTTATGTGGACATTATGTGCCACTTGAACCCCTTGTCTGAAATTTCTAGTACTTCGTGTTTACTTTGTGTTTTTATTTCAAAAAGGATCCACATTAATGCGTTTTTCGAACATTTACAGGTAGTAAGCCACTGTAGTAGAAATAAAACAAAAAGTGTCTCTCTACTATAATTATTGCATTTTTACTGCAAGAAAAGTCTCAAAAAAATTGATAGCAGCTTTAGCCCATTCCCGTCCACTGCGCGCCAGTGCCACCCAATCCACCATACAGGACTTCGCACCCTTCTGTGCCACCCGACTAGGGTGTTTCAAAAGCGCCGAATGTTCGATATTCTTGGCGCTTGTTGTGGAAAAGTTTCATTTTGTGTCAACAATGAAAACTGTGAAATCCGGAATTTTTTGGACAAAATTTAGAGGTCGCGCCAGAGGCTTGAAGTTTAACATTGCTTTCTTATGGGCTTTCACACATAATATTGAAAATTCTGCGTGGACTCCAAATTATTGGCTGCAGGTCAAAACTAAGACCATAGCTGAAATCTACGTTAAAAACCGAGTCTGAGGACCTATCGCACAACTACGTACCACCTCAGATTTTGAAATAAATTTTCCCAATTTTGGGTAAAATGGACAAATTGAGCATTTTTCTAAAATTAAACTAGTGGTCGCACAATTGCATGCAACATATCGTCAGACTCGGTTTTTAACGTAGATTACAGCTATGGTCTTAGTTTTGACCTTCGGCCAATACTTTGGAGTCCAGGCTGACTTTTCAATATTATGTATGAAACCCCATAAGAAACTAATGTTAAACTTCAAGCCTCTGGCGCGACCTCTAAATTTTGTCCCAAAAATTCCGGATTTCACAGTTTTCATTGATGACACAAAATGAAACTTTTCCACAAAAAGCGCCAAGAGAGTCGAACATTCGGCGCTTTTGAAACACCCTATTGAGCGCGGTGGTAACTACGCGTGTGTAAGTTGGGGTAGCGGGGGGCGGGGGGAAGAGATGGGGCGTTTACTGTTACGAGCGCACATGTGCAAGTGCGTGCGCATGCATGTGAGTGTAAGTGCGTGAGTGTGTGTGTGTGCGTGTGTGTGCGTGTGTGTGCGTGCGTGAGAGTGTGTGCGTGCGTGAGAGAGTGTGCGTGCGTCCTTGTCCTTGTAGCGTGACGCCGCGGGGAGCACGCCCTCTGGAAATAGAATAGAAGCTCACTGGCCGGGTCTGGCCGGCTCGCCCCGGGCCCCCGGGCTCGCCCTCGCACTGCCTCGCACGCGGTAATGACGGCAGTTCTGGCCGCCGCATAGGGTGGGCTGTACTGTGTATAGGGAAAAAGGGGGGGGGCGCCTGCGCCTCAGTCATTTCTGCCGGGCCAGGCCAGTTTTCGGTGAAGAGATATGAAACGGTAACTGAGCGAGAAGGTTCAGAGAATGTTTTAATGAACTTACGAACAAGATCATGTATGAACCATTGCAACAATGTTTTGGGTTTTTTGGCCACAAACATAACGGAAGGCGATTGCAGATGCAGGGCAAGAACTCAAGAGCTCTTCCACGGTACACAACAAGGAAAGGCAAACACTCTGGCAATTAAAAGGGAGGAAACGAAACGCAATCAATAATATGGAGATGAAATTGGCGGCTGCCCAAGCGACCAATAACCTCTTCAAATTAAAAACAAAACATAGTAAAAACAGTGCATATGATATACAGAATAAAATATGCAGCAATGAAAACAGGGGTGAACGAAATGCAAACTTGGCATCGCAATGTCAACGAATAATGAAAAGTTATGGATAAACTACAACGCGTTGGAGTCACTCTCCCTTTGGCTACGCCCCGACGATTTTCTTGACGAGCAGGCCAGGCAGAGAGTACACAGCCAAGAGGACGAAGATCACCAACAGGACGACAAGCACGGCCAGGATCAGTGCAGCGCGGTGGCGACGCCATACGAAGTGGTACATGCCCATCAGAGGGTGCCGCAGCATGGAGAACGCCTCCACGGGCCGCCTGAGAGAGAGGGAAAGACAAGGTACGGATTCGGAAAGGAAGAACAAATCTCAAGACAATCCCACCCGTCAGGAAGAATAAGAAGGGTGTGTGTGTCGTCCTCCCGATTTCTTATTTTTTTTTACCCTCGGTCTTAACCCCCGGGGGAGAGCAGAGAAGATCTGACACAAAAGAATCCCGGTCGAGCAGGGTGTTCGGCCTCGGTCTGGCCTCCCTGTCGGCGCGTTACTTGATTGTCACTCCGCATCGACGTTGCGGCTTTCCCCGGAATGGCACCCGACGGGACACTCACTGGGGCTTGGGCAGCGCCTGGGGGCCCTCCCGCCCCCCGCCGGCAGGGTCTCGGTCCGCCACCGCGGCCGGCATCAGGGACAGCTCCAGGTTCAGCTTGCCCTGCACCAGGACGCGCACGTGTACAGCCGGGTGCGCCGCGTGGCGTACATAGGGGGAGGTTTCGACCTTCTCTTTCACGCACCGCGAGGCCCTTGGCTCGGGGCCTGTTGACGCCCGGGGCGAGCAGGGCGGGCCACCAGCCCGCGGCGCGGCGCGCGAGGAACAGGTTGACGGTGGGCCTGACGTCCTTGGACGCGCCCGGGGCCGAGCAGTTGGACGCGAACGAGGCGCCGCGGGGCACGCGCGACAGGTCCAGCGACAGCGTCCCTGGTGTCCGAGAGGGGGAGGTAATCGAGGGAGCGTGACGCGGGCGGCAAAGAGAGTCCCCCGACCCGACCCTCTGTGGGCATACCCAGGAGGTCGTCGCGAGTGAACGTGTCGAAGTCCATGAGGGCGAGGTGCAGGCGGGGCGGGTGTCGGGCGAGCCCCTTGCCCTCCTCCACCAGGACGCGGTTCTCGGGCCACACGTGCTGGAAGCGGAACACCATCCGCCAGCTCCACATGGCCGCCCCGCTCAGGCACGCGAAGTGCACGTCCGTGGACTGCGCGTCGCACTCCATGCCGGACAGCCAGCCCTGGACGCCGACAGATTAGCGCCGTCGGGGCCCACCACGCAACGCCCTCGTCAGGTAAGCCATTACAAACCTTGACGTAGACGTCGGAGGACTTGTCCTTACTGAGCAGCACCCGCTCAGTGCCCACCACGCTGGCCGCCTCCAGGACGACGACGCGCAGCTCCCAGTGCTCCGCGCCGGGTGGGTCCAGGGTCACGGCGGGCGGCACCGGGAGCAGGCTCCGGCCCAGCACCAGCACGTCGACCCACATCTCGAGCTTGCCCTGCTCGATGCCGGGCCAGTCCGGGTGGTGCAGCGACCGGGTCTCCACGTGCTGGGGGACGAGGCTACACCAGGGCCAGGCGCGCAGCGCGGCCAGGGCGGCGTGCTCGCGGGCCGGCTCGTCGTGGACGCTGGCCCGCGCCGTCCAGTCCCCGACCGTGACGCCGTCCCCCTCGTAGCGCGGGGCGGCCAGGCCGTGGTCGACAGCGAGGTCCGCGAGGATCTCGCTCGGCAGGCGGCTGTCACGCCATGAGTTGTTCCCCTTGCTTCCAGAAAAGTGCGCGAAGCTGATCACAATGTCTCGGCCGTACGTAAGCCTTGCATCAAGGGAGCTTACGCAGAGAAACGTTTCGGTAGCCCGCAGCCGCCGTTGTGCCTGGAGAACAGCCTGTTTTCCAGGTCGATCCTGGTCTCCCCGATAACGTCGTCGCGGCCCGCGGCGTCCCAGTCCATGACGCGCACCGTGAGCGCGTGATCCCGAGGGAACTCCGCCTCGAACTCGAACACCCTGTGACCCGCGAGGGCTGCCGTCCTGTGTTTTCCTTATGATTCACGCTGACTTAAATAGGCTATGGCTGCTCTCACCTGCCGAAAATGGGGTTCAGGTTCTGCTTGACGATGTTGTCCACGTCGACGCGTCGCTGCCGCCCCAGCCGCAGCACCAGGTAGGGGTCGCACGAGCCGTTGGCGTCACGGGGCGGCAGCGCGACGGCCCGCACCACGTACACGCGCACCAGGACGGGCAGCGGGCGCGCGCCGGTCTGCGGCGGCCGCCGGGGAGCCGCGGTCCTCGAGGGGCTGCCCGCGGGGCCAGCACGACATCCTCCGGGGCTCGGGGGCTGCGGGAGCGCGCGCAAAGACATGACTACCTGCCGGCGGGGAATATGGGGAAAGACAGGCGGTGAGTAAGGGACTTCGTGGGAACGTCACATAGATATCTTGAAAAGAAAAAGAGACAATAATTGCTCTCCAGAATAAGCCACCCATCTCCCATCACCCATCTCACCTTAAGCTGGGCCATGACCTTCCCTGCGTGGTCCCACTCCGGGAGGTCGTCGTCCTCGTCCTCGAGGTCCGCGTCTTGCGCGAGATCCTCCCTTTTGCCGCGACACAGCGGCAACACGCGCAGGAAGTCCTGGAACCCCCCGAACGGGACCTGCGCCTCCAACTCGCCGGGGTAGAACTATAAAAGAGAACGAGACCGATTGAAACCCGAGCGCACTGTCCAGTGTATTGTGGGGGGAGGGGGGCATCCACTCCGTACAGGCGTACCTCTAGCAGGAAGTCCTCGTGGACCCGGCTCGACATGCCGTCGGCGACCCCTTCCTGTGATCAGAAGTAGGAGCTGAGCTGGCCCGAACAACATATATTTTGACTTGTTTGGCAAACCGGCTGTCAGCATTAAATTGGAGCTCACCCCCGCTCGCGCCTGGATTGTGGAATAGTAGCGCGTCCACCAGTCGGGGTCGGGGTCCTCGACTCGGGGCTGCTCGCTGGCCTGCCCGCCGCCCCCTCCGCCCCCGCCGCTCCCGCCGCTCCCGCCCGCACGGCGGCGAGACATCCGCAGCCTCGCCGCCTCCACCGCGCCGCCCCCCAGATTCCGGACCCGCTGCGGCACGGCGCGGCCCGCGGCCCTGCCCAGGCGTGACAGCAAAGGCGCCTTCTCGCTCTCTGGGGGGGAAAGCGGGGGAATGGGCGGGACAAAGGGAGGATTTCCACCTAATCCCCACCCTCAAGTGAAGGTCGGAGGGCTGCGAAGGGGCGCGGCCCGAACCTTGTTCAGCCTGGTGCGTGGTTACGTCCTCGGGCAGCTCGATCACCACGGAGTCCGAGGAGGGGGAGGAGGAGGCCTGTGTCATGCAAATGAGATTCGAGTCCGCTCCTGCGTCCGTGCGGGGAGGGGGTGGCGGCGAGTGGCAGCACACACCTCGGCTGGGTTTCCGCGCGAGAGGGCCGCGAGCGGCTCGTCCGCCGGGGTGCTAGGGGCCGCGGTCGCCCCCGTGAGCGCGGAGGGCAACCAGGGCCAGGGCTCGGAGTCCAGCGCGGTGGAGGCCGTCGGGGAGGCGAGCAGCAGCGCCGCGCTGGGCAGCAAGTGCGTGGCGGCGTAGCGGCGGAACAGACCGAACGCAGCGCGCCGCAGCAGCACCAGGTGCACCCCGGGCAACAGCGAGGGGTCGTCGGGCAGGTCCTGGGGCGGGCGGCGGAGACGAGTGAGCACGACGAACACTGGCCCAATACCTCTCGGTTGCCGCGGACGTCGTCCTACCCTACCGGTCACCCACCAGGTCGACCGACGAGTAGGGCTCTTGGAAGTTGAGCGAGGCGGCCGGGTCGAGGCGACAGGACTCGATGCGCGCGCCCGCCAGGTGCAGGGCCACGAACTGGTATCCCGGAGCGCAGGAGGGGCTCAGGTCCCGAAGGCCCCAGAACAGCACCTCGAGCCTGATAGGGAGGCAGTTCTGCTGACAGCTCGAAATAAATAGAGACGTCCGTAACCAACGCGACCCGATCTGTTCCGGCCAACCCTCGGGCCGACCGTGATCTACCGCGCCACACCGCCCCCAAAGTGACAGCGATGTTCTGGTCCAGCGCCAAACTCCAAACTATCCCAACCTTTGCGGCCGGACTACAGTTCCAGAACGCTGCTGTGGCCTCCCCCAACCACAAACGCGCTGTATCGCAGAAATAGCCTCGCGAACAGTCCAAAAGTGGTCTGATATATCTATATAGCGGATAGTTTGACTTTGGCGTATATTCCGGTTTGATGGCGGCCAGACCACCAAGAGTCCTTCGCTACGCTACAGCTACACCTCCGACTTTGCAGCCCACAACAGTGATCCTCGCATCACATTGCCTTCATCCCCATGAGATTGAAAGTAGTAAACCTGTAGCGGCGGAGGTCTGGTAGGATGTCCTTCACGCCATCACACATCTGCTTCTCCCGCTGAGCTTCACTGGTCCCCGGGCTAACCTAAGAAAACACCCTCCGTGAATAAAAAGTTTTCGTACTCTGTTCACAGAAAATGTGCTGTAAACAGTAGATATACCTGCACAAGTTGGATCGTCGCCAACACGTCCCCCGTCCTGCGTGAGCCGAGCATAATGGGGATCCAGCGCACGACGTCCTCACCCGCCCCCGCGCCCCCGTCCCCTTGGACCGGCTCCTCTGGCGCGGGGTGCCCCTCCCCCGCCGCGGCCCCGCCCGGCCGCGAGCCCTCAGGCCGCCGTCGCCGCCCGGGCTGATCCCTGCTGCCGTCCCTGGTCCTCCACGGCCCCCACCTGGCCGCCCACTCCTGGCCCTGGCCCCGCCACTGCTCCCAGTTGGGCCGCTGGTCCCGCCACTGGCCCCACCGCTGGCCCCACTCCCCGCGGCGGGCCCACGCCCGCGACCAGGCCTGACCCCACCCTCGCGGCCCGCCGCGCCCCGCCGACCCATCCGACAGAGTGTCGCTTTCCGGCTCCAGCGAGTTTCCGGTCACGCCCTTTTCTTGGTCTGGCGCTGGTTCCGTTCGAGGCTCCGGGTCGGGGAGCGGTTGGGCCAGATGGATGGGGTCGGGGAGGGGATCGGG